TGGGTATGATATACTTTTAGAAGAAGATCACAAGAAAGCGCGTATATATGTGTGTATATATATATATATATATATATATATGGTTCAAATTTACAGGTAATCACTTATTCTACACCTCAAAGGTAGGAAAATGGATTGATAACAAATAGTAACTATTTCAAGTTAATTTTGGGGTGTAAAAAGAAACAGAAGAGAAAATGTACTGGTTTTGGGGGAAAAGATATTCCGTACAGATAACCATCCTCCACGAACAAATATGCATGCAATATTACATATAATTATAAACCCTTCTTCTCTCAATTAATTCTCAGAGGATTAAACCCATTACCAAATCATGCTTCATTTGAAATCAAACCCTAATTTCCATTTTCCTCTTTTGACTCTCTTTTACTTTCTCATCATTTCATCAACCTTGTTTTCATTCTCCTATGGAGATTCTCATTACCCTATCAATCATCATCATCCTCACCACCCCCTTCAAGGTTTTTATTCCTTATTTCTTTGCTCTTATTCAATTTTTAATTTATTTTCTGTTTTTGGATATTTTGAACTTTTTTTTTAAAACGGTGAAGGATAAAAATGTTTTCTTTCATTTGTTCGTCTCTTCGTTCTTTCCTATTTGGATGAGAAATATCACGGATAACATTTATAATCTTTTATTTTTATTATTATGCAAATAGTTTCTTTTTTCTTTTGGAAATTGTTACTGAAAGAATCTTTGCGTGTTATAGGATCGAAGAGGTTCATCTTCGAAGAATCGAGGGAGGAAAACCCGAACGAAGAAAACAGACCGGTGATGATATTAGCTGCAAACAAGACACACAGAAGAGATCCTACTAATAATTTCAACTACTACACTGGTGGATGGGATATTACTAATTCACATTATATCTTTGTAAGTTTCTAACAATGAATTAACCTTTCTCTTTCAATATTTACCCATTTCTTCCTCTAATATTTATTTTTCTGGAACAATACCCATCAATTTTCTAACATTTCAGTTGGATTAATTAGCTAAAATTTTATATAAAATTCAAATTCTCACTATTACATTATTAATTCTTGTTTTTACAGTCAGTTGCATATACAGCTGTTCCTTTGGTCATCACTGCCATAATCTGGTTTGTGGTGGGAGGGTTCTTCCTACTCTGTGCTTGTCTCTGTTGCTGCTGCTGTTGTTGTCGAAAAAAACACGCTAATTATTCTCGAACCTTTTATGCGATATGTCTCATCTTTCTCGTACTTTTCACCATTTCAGCAATGTAAATTTTCTCTTCTCCAACTTCTTTCTTGGATCTCTTTTTTCTTATAAGGGTTATATAAATATACTTTTATATTCAATCTGTATTAGAATTTTATCTTTAGACTCTCCGATAATTTTATTGATATATAGATTTGTTATTTATAATGTTAGAAGACATTATGATGTAGAGACAAAGTATTAGGTTGTAAAACCCTAATGATACAAAAAATATGAATGTAACAACGGTAATTTATACAACTTATAATGTAAATTGAACATTAGAGTATATTTATCTCTATATCTTTCTGGATTCACTTGACAGATGCATTGAGTCTGGTACTCGAAACATCTTTTTTTTTTTTTTTTTTCTGCGTATTACGTAACTTCAACCTTAATTTGTTCATTAATTTTTCCGGGTGGTTAATTTCAGTGTGGGAACTGGCATTCTGTATGCCGGGCAATGGAGGTTCTACAAAAGCGTGGAGGGCACGTTTGGATACCTTGTGCAGCAAGGAAAGAACATATTCGACAACTTTCAGAGCTTGTGGAGCATTTTGGCGTCGGCTAAGGACATCAAATTAGGAGGGATGAACTTATTGCCAATCAATATTCAAGACAGCATTCTCAACATCAATTCGGTCATCCAACAAGTTTCCAAACTTCCGATGCTTAGTTCGCAACACAGCTCGCAACTTTTGTACCACGCCATGAGCCCACCGTAAGTGAAACGTTATAATATGTTAAAGTATTCGAGCACGAAGAAATTTTCTAATCTCGTAACTTAAAATTTTTGAAATAATCAACTATAAAATTTAACAAAATTGTTTGTGTAATCGGTTGTTGGTTCTTACAGGAGACGTGCTCTGAATGTCCTCGCTGCTTTGATGCTGTTCTTGACATTGGTTGGCTTATGTAAGTACCTATATATATATCCTCCTGATTAGTAAGGAATAAGAGTTAATCTCCATTTGATTAAATCTAATGTGTTACTGATTTGGAATTTTGATTGCAGTGCTTTCAGTTCTGGGCATGCGGCTCCTCGTATACATGTGAGCTAATTTACTTCTAAATTACTTATACATATATGTGTGTGTATATATATATATATATAGGTGTTCTACTTCATCTTTTCAGTACTCTGTTTTGTTTTTTCTTTCTTCATCTTTTAATTTCTGATTAAATGTTTGATTGAATTATTTCAGATTAACGTTGATTGGGTGGATTCTTGTCACCATTACATTTCTTTTATGTGCTGTATTTCTCCTTTTCCACAAGTAAGAATCTCTCTTATAGATGTTTTTCCTCCACTATAATTTCTCTTTTTTTTTTAATTAATTTATTTTTTAAGGATAATTAATTAAATTAATTAATATGGTATTAAAATCAGAGATTAATTGCACAAATTTTGGTAAATTCAGACATGATTGACGCTTTTAAATTAATAAAATTATACGAGAGAAAATATATTAAAATATAAATAATTAATTTCTTTTTTTTTTTATCGGCATAATATTTTAAAATATAATTTAATTAATTATTTAAGAGGTAAAACCATAATAAAATTTTCAATAAATATTTCGAAACTTATAAATCAAACATGTTATAAACTATATATAAAAAAAAATTTGTCATTGACCAAATTAGAGTTTAATATATAATTAATATTATGGTTTAATTATTACGATTATGACACTTTATTTAGGTGAAAATTTTGGATTTTATTAAAAATATAATACAAGGTATAGTACTAAATTTATTATAAATAGAATTTAATTATTAATTTATTAGTAAGATTACGATGATGATTAAGTTAAATTTTATTTTAATAAATTATTATAATTCTTGTAAAAGAAAAGTTGCTTATCATATTTGACTTAACAAAAATTAAATTAATATATTGATAGGATTAATGGGTATGATTATTTTTGGTTGAATATGTATATAAATTATATATTCAGTGTGGTGGCAGATACATGCGTGGCAATGCATGAATGGGTAGAAAACCCAACGGCAAATTCAGCTTTGAGTCAACTTCTTCCCTGCATGGATACCGACTCTGCAAAAGAAATTCTAAACGTGACCAAAGTGGTGTCGTTTTTAGTAGTTGAAGTTACGAACTCCTACACCACCAATATCACCAACCAAAACTTTCCACCTGAAGCTGCGCCGCTCTACTACAACCAATCTGGGCCGTTGGTCCCGCTTCTCTGTAATCCGATTGACCAGGATTTCAATCGCAGAGAATGTGCTCCCGGTGAAGTTGACTTGAGCAATGCCACACAAGTAAGTCAATTTTCATTTTATCATTATATATCTCACTGTAATTTGGTAATCGTGTGCGTACGTTCAAAATTCTAAAGAGAGTCAGAGCCTTACAATTCATATCTATGATATTAAAATTTGAACTGAACTCAATGTCAGTATGGAAGAATTACATATGCCAAGTATCGGAAACGGGCATTTGCACCAGCGAAGGG